TGAAGTTAGAAACATGAAAATTGGAATTGCAGCTACTGACTACAAATTATTAATGACGTGTTTCAGGGTTTTTATATTTTTACATTTTTAGGGGGGCAAACGGGGGTAAAAGTTTGTATGGGAGTATAACTTTTTTTGTTTTCTTTGAAGTTAGAAACATTAAAATTGGAATTGCATCTAAGAGTACAAATTAATAATGACGTGTTTTAGGGTTTTTGAATTTTCACATTTTAAGGGGGGAACGGAGGGTGGGGGTGAAAGTTTATTTGGAAATATCGATTTTTTTTAAAGGTAGGAACTTGAAAATTGGAATTGTAGGTTCTCATCATAAATAATGAAGTGTTTCATGGTTTTTGTATTTTCACATTTTAAGAGGGGAAAACGGGGGTGAAAATTACTAAAAATAATTAAAAATTAATAAAAAGTAATAAAAATTAATAAAAATTAATAAAAATTAATAAAAATTAATAACAATTAATAAAAATAATAAAAGTTAATAAAAATTAATAAAAATTAATAAAAATTAATAAAAATTAATAAAAATTAATAAAAATTAATAAAAATTAATAAAAATTAATAAAAATTAATAAAAATTAATAAAAATTAATAAAAATTAATAAAAATTAATAAAAATTAATAACAATTAATAAAAATAATAAAAGTTAATAAAAATTAATAAAAATTAATAAAAATTAATAAAAATTAATAAAAATTAATAAAAATTAATAAAAATGAATAAAAATGAATAAAAATGAATAAAAATGAATAAAAATGAATAAAAATGAATAAAAATGAATAAAAATGAATAAAAATGAATAAAAATGAATAAAAATGAATAAAAATGAATAAAAATGAATAAAAATGAATAAAAATGAATAAAAATGAATAAAAATGAATAAAAATGAATAAAAATGAATAAAAATGAATAAAAATGAATAAAAATGAATAAAAATGAATAAAAATGAATAAAAATGAATAAAAATGAATAAAAATGAATAAAAATGAATAAAAATGAATAAAAATGAATAAAAATGAATAAAAATGAATAAAAATGAATAAAAATGAATAAAAATGAATAAAAATGAATAAAAATGAATAAAAATGAATAAAAATGAATAAAAATAAATAAAAATAAATAAAAATGAATAAAAATGAATAAAAATGAATAAAAATGAATAAAAATGAATAAAAATGAATAAAAATGAATAAAAATGCATAAAATTGCATAAAAATGAATAAAAATGAATAAAAATAAATAAACATGAATAAAAATGAATAAAAATGAATACAAATGAATAAAAATTAAAAAAAAAAAGAATAAATTTAAATAAATATAAAAAAATGAATGAAAATCAATAAAACTAATAAAAATTAATAAAAAATGAAGTCATGTATTTTTTATATTAATAACACGACTATATGCGAGCAAAGTCGCGAGCAAAGCCGCGGGCAATAGCTAGTTCACTATATAATATAAGAAGAAGGATAGTAAGATTTTTAAATAAGTTCATCAATATAATAAACGTTTGGTACCTGTAATGTCCTTTAAACCACATAATAAAACATGTCCTGGGTTTAGTAAATACATATTTCTAAATGTTCTTGTAGCAACCAATAGGTGAATATTTCCAGCAAATTAAGATAGGTTGTAGAAAAGTAAAATGCTTTCATATAAAAATATAATTTATTATCTTCTAATAAATTGTCATATATTTATGTTACATTATAGCACAAATAAAAATATTTCCAAGCCACATATGATTACAATAAAAGAATATTTATCACCTTCGCATAAATAATAAACTAACAAAATAAAAATATAGGTAAAAAATCAGTATAATATGTACCTAGTCATTGTTGCAGTCGTCTATTATTATTCACCGATCTAGCTTTAGCATTGTACAATTGCCATCTTGGTAAAAAATCTTGTGAACCTTTAAAACATACCTTATATAAATATACTTTTTTACAATCATTCACCATTTAAGCTTCTAGTGAACCTTTGCAATATCGGTACCTTAATACGAGTATACAATTTAGCTATTTTTGTCCAATCGTTCACAATCGTTCAGTGTTTTATAGATAGGTTCTACTATCTACTTTTATGATATTGGAACTTATTCAAGAACATTTTAAGAATAAATTTATATAAATATTTTTTTTTTTTAATTTTCATGTCTTGATTGAGATTTTACTAAAACCTCAATTTGAGCCTCTTTGTATTACATTACACGGAGGGACTTAAATACTTGTAAAAATATTGATTTTAAATTAAAAAAAAAAGTTATTTTTTATAATTTCTCAATGTGAATCGTATGTATTTAACAAGCAAACGAAATTATAAAGAATTACTTTTTTTATTTTAAAATATTTTCACAAGTCCATCCGTGGACACAGTGTATAATGCTGTAGAACTAATTCACATCTATAGAACGTTTCAGAGCAACTTTCGGTATCAGTACCGTAAAAGTGCTAGTGTGATGTTTTTCGAACTTTACTTGGTAACCTCTGTGAGATGTGCTTTAAAAGTCTTGCCGTTGCGGACATTCAGCGGTTGCAGGGATATTAGGATTATATTAAAAGTACATTGCATGCGAGCTTAAAGATCCTAAAATTGAAGCTTATTAACGTAGGTGGGATGTTTTTGTGTTAGCTGGGCCTACTACTGGATACACACACCATTATAATTGCCTTACAACAAGTTGTACTAATGAATTGTAAAAAAACATTTATTAAGAACACTATTCATAGGTCTAAACTACAATTTAATTATAGTATAAGTTAATAAATATCATTTGCAATAATGAAAAGAAAAAAATGTTTAATTAATATCAGTATTTTTATAAAAATAACTGTGTTATCAGATTAATAATAATAATAATAATATTTATTCACACATAATAATAATATAAAAGTTTTACAATAATACACAAACATATGTATTGTAACTTCAATGTAAATAAATCATTGACTCCATTAAAACTGTTTAGTCGAGCATGGGAAATGCCAATTTTTATTAAAAATTGAAATTGCTAAAACGCAGTAGATAAAAGAATTATAATTAAGGTATACATAAACTAAAATAATAAAATAATAATAATAATAATAAGGTATTTATAACTTATATAACTAAATAATAAAAATTTAAATTGGTAAAAAAAATATAGTTAGCAAAAATACTGATATGCGTGATAAGGGTGTGAATTATATATTGTTTTCCTTGAATCAATCAAACAGTTGTTTAAGCATGTGCCTATTATTTAATATTAAATATGTTTTAAGCAAGGATTTTATCATTGCATGAGAATTGATGGTATTTAAGTATATTTTGTATATATCAGGAAGTGTATTATAAATTTTTAATTGTAGATATTGGAAGTTTCGTTGGCCTACGGTTTTTTTTTGCAATATTTGTTGCAATAAATAGTTGTGATCGATTTCTTGTCTGGTATGAATGTTGAATAGGTATTAGTAACTGCTTATTTTTATGTAAATTTACCATCATAGCAAGTGTAAATAGACCTGTTCATCACAATTTTTTTTTTGTGCGCATGCGTCAGTTTCAGCCATCTTTTTCGTACTGTTTTTGTAAACAAGTATGTTAAAATGCTTACGTGAAAAAAATTATAATTGATAAATATTAATTTAAGTCTATATTCATTTAAAAAAAGGAAGAAAAACGTAAAGTAATAATAAGTTTAGTATCTTAATTGAAAAATACATTTTCACAATCAATTATAATTATGTTATCTGTGCGGAACGGTATAACGAAACAGTGTTGTTATGTAAAAGTGACACACGGTATAAATCATTCAAAGGCATTAGATATTATTTTATAAATTTTCCAAAGCCTTAACTGCAATATCGTAAACAATTATCAGGCAAAATCCATATTAAAAGATATTCGAAATGTGCATTAAGTGTGAAAAAATATGGTCGAAGTGACGACGGTTTTCGATGGATTAATGATGTTACTAAAGATACTTATATTTCACTGCATTTTCATGGAGAAAGTGGCCCAACAGAAGAAAATTCTCATGTGGTATTAAACAATATTTTTTTAATATTAAATACTACTTCGGTATACACATTAAATAATGATTAAAAATGTCATATTGATCCTCAAAATAATAAATAATTTATTTTATTAATTATACTCGTGATTAACTTTCATGCTAATTAAAGTGTTTTTACAAGTAGTAATAGTTGGTTGGCATAATTAATTAGAATAAAGTTATAATTATTATTTGTTTTCATTAATTTTTTACAGAGTTAAAAAGTATTGATACACCTAACCTCTCAATTAGTCCACTTTGTTCCTTTGTAACAAACATCCAAGACACTTCAACCTCCTTTTCAACTGCTCACAACTATGCGCTTCCACATAGTTATAAAAAAGTTATTCACTATCAACGATTTTTTCTAATGATTAATTTTTCTGTAGAGATAACATTGCTTTCCCAGCCATTGTCGATCAAAACAGTACGAAACTTTTGAATTACCGCTATTTCAACATGGTGGCTGCGCTTGCGCTCATCACATGATGAAAAGGTCTATAGTTGTCTTATATCTAGGACTGCAGATTCTATACATAATTCGTCTGATGGGTGTGATACTTTTTTGTTATGTATTATTTTTAATATTTTTTTTTGGAATAATATTTAATGGTTGTAAGTAGGTGACAGAGACTCCACCCCATCCGAGAATTCCGTATCGTAAACGTGATTCCATGCCTATATAATTATAGAATGTTGTATTCTTTATTTAATAAATCAACCAAGTGAAATGTTTTCTTTCACAATCAAAATTATTGGTAAATAAAAACTACAAAAGTTTTTTATCTATATTATCCGTTTCATAACAACAAATATTTGAATCTACCAAATTCCCACTAATCCGGCAACATTGCTCCATGATTTGATCGTCACAATAAGTGGAAGGAGTACCGGGGATCCCGATCCCTTCCCTCTCGACCTCGCTCCGTAAAGATTCGAATAGGGTTTCCCCACAGTGACGCCACTTCGTGTAATTTACAGAGGTCCATGCGCTGGACTAAGCCCGGGCAACTTGATTTGGAAAGTTCATTTAATCATTTCGCAGCATTTCGTTGAAATTAGTAGGAATTTAGCGATCACCATGATATATCTATGTGATGTCTGTCTCAAATGTGAGTCAGTAAGTTTGGTGACTTTAGTTAGTTATGAAAGATACCTAGCACTCAAGTTGATCAAGAACGACAAGAAAAACGTAAGTAATAAGTGTACTTATATTTTAATTTCGCGGTTTTTTGTTTTATAGTGCGCGTTAATAGTGAAGTTTTTTTACTTTTTCATTATTTTTACTTTCCTATCTGTATACAGATATAAGGAAAGTATAGGAATCATGATTTTTTTCGACCTCGAGTTTTCGACGGATTTTTACGTTTTGAGGTCCCCTGAATCCGTTTTGACTATTTTCGCGATGATGTCTGTGTGTGTGTCTGTGTGTGTGTCTGTGTGTGTGTGTGTGTGTGTGTGTGTGTGTGTGTGTGTGTGTGTGTGTGTCTGTGTGTGTGTGTGTGTGTCTGTATAACGCATAACTCATGAACCGATACACAGAAAAACACCAAATTTTAAACTTAAGCTTTGTTTCAGCGTCCAATGAGCTGATTAGATTTTGGGCAGAGTCGGAACATCTGGGGGGGTACTTTATGGGTGGTCATTTTTATATTTTATGGAATATATCTGTTATTTACGTTTGGAGAAGAAAATTCTTCAAATAAAAGTTACTTCTAATATAATTATCTATAATTTTTGTTTAATGCAAAATTTTCCTAAAATGGTCCGTATTCGAGAAATTTGACAAAATGTAAAAAAAATATTTTTTTATAAAAATTGTTCAAATAAAAGTTGTTTGTAATATAATTCTCTATAATTTTTGTTCTATACATAATTTCTCTAAAATGGACCGTATTCGAGATATTTGAGAAAATGTGTAAATTTCGAAATTTGAAGAAAACTCAAAAACGGATAAAGGAAAAAACATTAAATTTTAAACTTAAGGTTCATTTCGGCCTGACGTGAAATGATTAGATTTTGGACAAAGTCGGAACATCTGGGGGGGTACTTTATGGGAGGCCGTTTTTATATTTTATGGAATATATCTGTTATTTATGTTTGGAGAAGAAAATTGTTACTTCTAATATTTTTATCTATAATTTTTGCTTTATGTCAAAATTTCCTGAAATGGTCCGTATTCGAGAAATTTGACAAAATGTGCAAAATTCTGATTTTTATGAAAATTGTTGAACTAAAAGTTGTTTGCGATATCGATTTCTATAATTTTTGTTTATACATGATTTTTCTAAAATGGACCGTAATGGAAAAGTGCTAAATTTAAGTTTTTCTGTATTTTCGTTTTCAATGAATATCTATAAAAAAATGTTTCGAGGTAGATGTATGTGTAAAATGTATATATTTAGTTTATCCTCTAAACATTTATAGAGATGCTGCAATAGGTTGTACAAAATAACCGGAAAATGCCTATAATAACTAGATAGGAAAGTCATGTGTTGGACACATCAGATTTTTTAACTAGGATTAACATTAACAAATAATGAATGTTTAAAATGTTTTCTGGTAAATACCTATTTGTTTTGGTTTTTAGATAAAAAAAATAGTGTGCGATGAAGCAGAAAATTAATATAATGGGGTTCATAACACTTTAGTGTCACAAAAAGTAAGCAGTTTAGAAAACATAGAATCATTTTGAATGTGGTAGAGACAATAATTCTTTACAAAAAGTGCTGTTTTTGTGAAAATATAACCATTTTTTTGGAACATGAGTGAATTGTTCGCTGGGTTCAGGTGCGTGTTTTGCAAAAATAACTAGTTTCTATAGTAAACTTTCGCAAAAAATATAGAAAACCAATATTTTTTGAAAAAAATATAATCAAAAATTGAAATGATCAAAAACCATATACAGGGTGTTCGATAAGTACAGTATATAACTTCAGGAGCGTATTCTGGAGCTAAAATAAAGGTATTTTTATGTACACTATGTCTCAAAAATGTTTCGTTACGGAAATACAGGGTGTGAAAATTTCATAAAAACATACAATTATTTAAATATTTCCAAAACCACAAGATATTTGAATCAAACTAATCGCTGAAAAATATGGAAGGAAAAACGTGTTACGCCACTGTTCTATTTTTAATGATCGATTTGGAAGAAAAAGCAACAAAGACAGTAAATTGTTTCATTCTTTTTTATTATTTTTAATCTCTTTGAACAAATGTACAACAAAAAAATTATCTTCAATTTTTCCCAAGTACTTGTTTGACATTTTACTAGTCGCCAAAATGAATAACTTTACTAACGCTGAAAAAGCTCAAATGCACTTCTTTTATGGCTTAGGGCCGATTCCACCGTTGTGTTAAACGGAGATTAAAATGACATTTTTACATTAACAATGTCATTTTAAACTTCGTTTAACACAACGGTGGAATCGGTCCTTAGCAAATGGGAATTCAGCGGAAATTAGAAGAATTTATCAGCAACGTTATCCGAATAGGGTAACGCCATGTGCTAAAACATTTAGAAAGATACATGCCAGATTGAATGAAACCGGTAGTTTTAAGCATAATCGGGTAGTTTCTGGTAGACCACGAACAGTAACAACGTCTGAGCTAGAAGAAGCTATACTACAGGAGAAATAAGAAAATCCTTCAACTAGTACCAGGAAGATTGCACCACAGCTTAAAGTAAGTGCAAATACTGTTTGGAGAGTTTTGCAAGTTTCTCTGCTTTACCCATACCACATACAACGAGTACCCAGATACCAATTATACATTCTTAGCATATTCTCAGTATATGCTTTTTAAGAATGTGCATATGCTGAGAATATACTTTATTTGCATTTGGAACATTCTCAGAATATACCAAGAATATGCTACGTAACGTTTTTTATACGTGCTATGCAGATGCTGAGAATGTACTCGAGTATATGTACAGTATGCAATAGGTATCAGTAAATAATAAAACTAAATTAAATTTGAACTTTTATTTTATACAGTACCTAAATTTAATTATCAAAGTTGTTTATTACAATGCTCAAATTTCTTCTCACTTCTTATCCCCGTTGGCGAACAGGTAGCTCAACGTCGCCATTAATATCATTGTCATCTTCTTCTGGCACTCCTTCTTCAGGTGCTTCAAAATCGATGTCTTTCAAAGTTTTTGCCACATTATGAAGCACAATACAGGCAACAATTATTTTTGGCACATTCTCCGATTTCACTCGGCAAACATGTAGCAAAATAGGAAATCGACGTTTCAGTTGACCAAAACAACGTTCAATTATCACTCTCTCTTTTTTCAAAAGTTTATTATAATTTAGTTCAGCACCTGGAGCGGGATTTCTGAATGGAGCCATGAGCCACGGCTCCATACCATATCCATCATCAGCAAGTAGCACGATGTTGGTTTTATTTTGTAAATGAACCCTTATTTGTGAAATTCTCCATATTCTTGAATCGTGGACCGATCCAGGCCAACTAACGTCTATACTAGTGAACATTTCTCTTGCATCACAAGTGGCTTGCACATTCAGTGTTGGATGACCTTTTCGGTTGACATACTCATCACCATGGCGATTTGGTTTTAGAATTCCTACGTGGGTACAGTCAACTGCGCCAATTGCTGTGGGAAACCTATACTTGTTTTGCCATAACTGTTTCGCTATCATAAATTCATTGTTGGTAGTCGGAAACTTTATCCAGTCATTTGATTGCGCCACTATGCTGTCAATTACGGTAGTTACTGTACGAGATACTGTAGCTTGACTCACACCCAGCTCTTGACCAATGCCTTTCTGATATCCAGGGTCACTGAGATAGCGTAAACATATCTGTATTTTAAGGACGGATGATAACGCACCTCCTCGAGTTTCAGCATTTATTCCCAAAAATCTGTTAGCAACCCATTGCACATTTCCCTCTTCAAACCGGTATAATTCTTTGTAATCACGAACATGTGTTGATAAACGCTGCTTGTAGTGTTTAATCCAATGACATATATAGATTAATAGACTGCTCATCCATATATAAACAAGACGACGAAAAGCGGGTCATATTGCTTGGCTTGTCGAGTGCTCACCAGGCAGAATCGGTCTGGCCCAAATGAGTTTAAAACACATATTTCATCAAAGTAGGAATTGAATTAAAAAAAAAATATATATATATATCTATGTTTATTTCAAGACAGGAGCTTGCGTTAGGTATTTTAAAAAAGGATTTTGAGTCGTAACGTCTAGTTTCCCAATTTTCAAAACATTTTAAGAGATCTAACCAATTTTGAACATAGATATAAACAATTTTACACTCATGTGTATATAACTAACTTTAGACCATGACTACTATATAGTGGCACTATTCGGACACTTGATTATTCTTTTAAAATTTATTTCGCATTATAAAAGCAAATATTATGCAAAAATTGAATGAACTTTTTAAAGACTTAAAGTTAGTAGCTTTTTCACATTCTAAAGTTTGTCCCTTTAGACAATTAAGGATTATTTTGGAGGTGAATGTGAATGATTTGATGAATAATAATAAAATTCCACCAGTGGAAATCTGATCAACATCATAGTAAAATGGACTAGGTACAAAGTGCAATCTTAATTGACGTCAAGATCCGTGTACCTTAGCATCGGTAAGAGGGAAATAAAGATTCTGACTTACAATCACAAAAAGAACGTACAACTAAGCTTAGTCGATGTAAGTTAGCTCAGATTAGTGGTAAAAAGAAAGCGACTATTAATAAAAAGAAAAGTAATCCAGCTAAAACAAGAATTATGGCTACTGTCTTTAATAATGATATGTTGCCAGTACTAGTAGAATGTTAAGTGTTGAGTTATCTTCTTCAGGCAATGGATGTACGTATGCATAATTTAAAATGTTTGGTTAATTATTATTATTATTATTATTATTATGTTTAATGTGTTTTTGCAGTTAATGAACATATATCTACTACTGAAGCAGATAATGAAGATTTGTGTGCTGCTGAATAGCTTTGCTTGATTTACAAAACTTTGTTTAGAAGCAGAAAATTGGGATCGATTGTTCAACACAAGTGAAGAGTGGTGATTTAGTTGATCCGTTTTCAAACAGAATTGTTAGTGCTAAAGAACTATCTACTTTAATAGGATTGCAATCCTTCCAGTTATTAGCCACCATTGTGGAATTAGTAGCAGAGTTATTTCTAAAGAATAGGAAAAAGGAGATCAATTATGTCTGTAAAGGATCAAGTTATATTTACTTTTATGAAGTTGAAAACTGATATGCAAGATATAATGTCTTATTCATTTTATTTGGAGTGAATGAAACTTTTTATCGTTAAATTTTTTAACAGTTTTTAATAAAACTGGTAGAAGTTCTTAGTATGGTATAATTCGGCCTTCAAAACAAGAAATATTAAATAATGTGCCTCTATGTAAGTAAGAGTACTTCTACTTGATTGTACCGAAATCCCAATACAGCAAGCCAAATGTCTTTGTTGTAGACTAAACAATTATTCTGACTACAAAAAGAGGCATACTATTAATATATTGACTGGAGTGTCACCTACTGGTCTCATTAATTACAAAAGTGAAGCATATTGATTGATTTTGTTCTGTTTGTGGACCCCTTGTGGATTCATTAAAAAATGCATATCTTCATTATTTTGGATTTCCTGTTGGAAACCAGGATAAAAAATGAATGCCTATGTGCCTTATTCCAATGGTCATCAGGAGAAAACGTGCACCTTCCATTTGGTTCACCAATGCTATGAAGAGGACTTAGTAATCATGAAAATGATTGTTAATTTTGTGTTACGAAGATATTGGGATATAATAAAAAAATAAGGCTAGTATTATATGTGCCGAACTTCCGTCTGTTAATAAGCCTATTTTACATTCGAAAGATTTACCACATCCAGTTTGTCCCGGTAATTCGAGTGCAAATATACTAGGTAACAATGAAAGTGATGTTGAATTCAACTCGATTTTTAGTAATTCTGATGAGTTCTGTCTTCAAGGAAACACTCCACATTTAATTAACCAAGCCTAATTAAATGATCTTATATGAGGTTTACAAGTACCAAGATCTAAAGCAGATCTTCTTTGTACCCGCTTACAACAATGGAATTTATTAACACCAGACACAAAAGGTACGTTTTTTAGAAACAGAGCAAAGTTTATTCAAACTTTTTCAAAATGGATGGTGAATATTGTTATTGTACTGATATCCCGGTGTTTTTTGAAGCAATGAATCAAAACTATGATAAAACAGAGTAGTTCTTATTCATAGACTCTTCGAAATATAGTTTAAAAGCTGTTCTATTACCCAACGGAAATAAGAAACCGTCTATACAAATGGACACGCAGTAAATTGTAAAGAGAGCTATGGAACAATGTGTACTTTAATTAATTTAATATAAATAATACCAATGGAAAGTGTGTGGCGACCTCAAAATCATCGGTTTGATATTGGGATTGCAGGATGGTTACACAAAATACTATTGTTTCCTTTGTTTGTGGGACAGTAGAGCAAAACAACATCATTATGTAAGAAAAGAATGGCCTACTCGGAATGAGTATATTCCGGGCAAAATGAACATTAAACACGAGCTGTTGGTGGATCCAAATTACATCACTCTACCCCCTTTACACACCAAATTGGGACTCATGAAAAAATTTTTTAAGGCGCTAGACAAAAACAGTGATGCTTTCCGGTATTTACAAAATATCTTTCCAATAATTACAGGAGCAAAACTGAAAGAGGGTTTATTTGTTGGCCCACAGATCTGTAAAATTATGAAAAATTCTCAGTTTGAAAACCTTTTATTTCTGAATGAAAAATCTGCTTGGAAGTCATTCTAAATGGCTGTGGAAGAATTTTTGGGAAATAAAAAAGTGAAAATTACAAAAAAATTATTACCGATTCATTGGAAAATTCTCAACAGATGGGGGTAGTAAACATGTCATTAGAGATTCATTTTTTGCACTCACATGTGAGTTTTTTCTCTGAAAACTTAGGAAGTATGACTGGAGTATAAGGGGAACGTTTCCACCAAGATTTAAAGGGTTTTCAAAGACGATATCAAGGATTTTGAGATGAAAACATGTTAGGGGATTACTGTTGGTCCATTATAAGAGAAACTGACTCAAATAAATATAAAAAATGGCAAAATTAATCATTTTTATTTTTTTTTTAGTATTAATACCAAAATTATGTAATCTAGTTAAGTAAATAAATATTTCTTAAACCAGACGTGACAGATTTTTTTCTGGTAAATTCTACCTAAACAAACAATAAATTAACAACTTTCAGCCGTTTAAACGAGTGTAATTTTTGGAATATCATATTTGTGGTATGAAAGTATAATTATATGATAACGGTATCACATTAATGTATAATTAGATCAATGTTTGAACTGATTTAAATACATCCTTATTAGATTAAGTGAATTTTCTTGAAATGTGGTGTTATTATTATTATTAACTTAGAAATTATAGTCAATAAAAATACTAATAATGCAGTTTTAACACTTTATGAACATTGGATGTAATCATATTCAAATTTGAGTAACCAAAATTATTCTCTTTCCATTATTTTTCGAAATTCAATTCATTAATTTACCCAGAATATGTCAAAATACTTGCATTATCGTTAAATACCCACCCACTATTTATTTACTTATTTGTAGTTTAGTTTCTATTAAATGTTTCACGACATTATACTTCAACAATACCCTCATTCTACATGACGAAATTGATTAGTAGCTGTCAACTTACTTTTTTATTGCGTGAAGTAGTTTCAATCTGTAATATCAATAATATCATATTTACCTTCTTTTTATAGTATTAGTCCAGGGCATTTAGCACTAAATCACCCGAATAGCGGAAATTTTGACATACCACAGATATCGAGATGCGGTTTTCTGCATTGTATTGGGGAAGGTCCCAGAAAAGACTGGTGAAAATGTGGGTATGCAGTTTTTTGAAAAACGCCTTCTGGGCCGGAAAATGCATTTTCCAATTGCATCATTATTTGTGCCGTTATGGGAGCGATTGTAAACGCGGAAAAATCGCTCGGAAATTGTTACTCGGGGGGTTTTCGGGGCTGCCGAACTCGATTCTGGCATTAGAATTACCCGCAAATGCACGGGGGCGGATCTGTGGGGGTGCGCGGGGGGTGAATTGGGGGAGGAATGGCAGCGTGCATGAGAATCGCTCCAAACTCGGTACTCGGGGGGTTTTTAGGGATGCTGAATTCAATTCTGGCATTGGAATTACCCGGGGCGCTCAGGGGCGCCTCTGCAGGGGTGTCCGGGGGTTCATTCCGGGGGGGGAAATCGCATAGTCCATGTAAATGGCTCCAAAATCGTTACTCGGGGGTTTTCGGGGATGCTGAATTCAATTCTGGTATTCGAATTACCCGGGGGCGCTTAGGGGCGCCTCTGCAGGGGTGTCCGGGGGTTCATTCCGGGGGGGAAATCGCATAGTCCATGTAAATGGCTCCAAAATCGTTACTCGGGGGTTTTCGGGGATGCTGAATTCAATTCTGGCATTGAAATTACCCGGGGGCGCTCAGGGGCGCCTACGCAGGGGTGTCCAGGGGTTCATTCTGGGGGAAATCGCATAGTCCATGTAAATGGCTCCAAAATCGTTACTCGGGGGTTTTCGGGGATGCTGAATTCAATTCTGGCATTGGAATTACCCGGGGGCGCTCAGGGGCGCCTCTGCAGGGGTGTCCAGGGGTTCATTCTGGGGGGAAATCGCATAGTCCATGTAAATGGCTCCAAAATCGTTACTCGGCGAAAAACGATTTCGGAGCCATTTACATGGACTATGCAATTCCCCCCCCCCCCCAGAATGAACCCCCGAACCCTCTGCAGAGGCGTTCCTGAGCGCTCCCGAGTAATTCCAGTGCCAGAATTGAATTCAGAATCCCCGAAAACCCCCGAGTCACGAGTTTGGACCCATTTACATGGACTATGCGATTTCCCCCCCAGAATGAACCCCCGGACACCCCTGCAGAGGCGCCCCTGAGCACCCTCGGGTAATTCCAATGCCAGAATTCAATTTAGCATCCCCTAAAACCCCCGAGTAACGATTTTGGACCCATTTACATGGACTATGCGATTTCCCCCCAGAATGAACCCCCGGACACCCCTGCAGAGGCGCCCCTAAGCGCCCCCGGGTAATTCCAATGCCAGAATTGAATTCAGCATCCCCAAAAACCCCCCAGTAACGAGTTTGGAGCGATTCTCATGCACGCTGCAATTTTTCCCCCAATTCACCCCCCGCGCACATCCACAGATCCGCCCCCGTGCATTCGCGGGTAATTCTAATGCCAGAATTGAGTTTGGCAGCTCCGAAAACCCCCCGAGTATCAATTTCCGAGCGATTTTTCCGCGTTTACAATCGCTCAAATAACGGCACAAATAATGATGCAATTGGAAAATGCATTTTCCGGCCCAGAAGGCGTTTTTCAAAAAACTGCATACCCACATTTTCACCAGTCTTTTCTGGGACCTTCCCCAACACAATGCAGAAAACCGCATCTCGATATCTGTGGTATGTCAAAATTTCCGCTATTTTTGCTAAATGCCCTGGACTATATCATGACTTTCAACAATTTTACCATTATATGTATTATTAGGAATATGGGTATTATTTAGACTAAGTACTAATTTATATTCTAATACATATGTTTTTTTTTTTTTCAGTTTTCTCAGACACAATTAAGGACCTGCCGCGTATGTTACAAGAAACTCAAATTTTTTAAACGAAGCATACTTTTCAAAGTGAAACTGAAGATTGAAGTGGATCGAATAACTAGTTCAAAAATGCATTATCCAAACTATCCACCTGGATATGATGAAGAAACATTTTCAAACCAATACTTTAACTTAAAACAACCAACGGACGATGCTCAGTCGGGTGAATACCTGTTGCCAGTCCAAAATCAGAGTAATTTAGAAGTTACACAACCGGAACAATCTTGCACCGACGATTATAATTGTCAATGTGATAGCTGTCAAAATAAATATGGCGATCTTCCGGTTCTGTTACAAGGTAAGAATTCGCCATTCACATTAATTTGTTTAATACAAATTATGTTAAAATCATTTATTTAAAAAAAATATTGTAATATATAATAAACATTTAAAAAGGGCAATTTCATGCTCAATCGCTAAAATGGCCAACCCATTAAGACGATTTTGCGTTGTAGTTGAACATAAAAGTTCTTAATCAATTTTAGTTTGGAAAAACTTCTTTCTCCACTTGCAACAATTACTGGTATATACAGCAATACTCTTAAGCAAAGACTTAGGTTTGGGGCACAATTTAACATTGTTAATAATTTTAGAACAGTACCTGGGCTTTCTTTTTTACCCATAAGCCCAGATACTGCACAAATTTCTTCTGCTAATTCTACCCCATTAATATCAACAGAATCACCGAGTTAAAATTCTTTCTAGATCGTTGCAATATTTTAAAAGATTTTCTTTAGACATGCCATTTACAGTTCATCAAATTTCTAGAGGTGTTCGACGCCCAGACAGAGAACGCGCTACGTGTGACTAAGATATCTATTGTACAGTCTGCTAAACAAGTTATTTTAAATAGTTTGTAATATTTTTAGGTAATTAAATTTTAAAAGTGTGGAATAGTTTAGGGATTAAATTGGTCTGATTGGACTTTCTTAGAACGTTTTTAAAAGCAGCTAAAGATAGTATGTAGAATTGAAAATAATTATTATGCCATACAAGGTGTTTTGGAATTCCTTCAACCTTTTGAAATTGAGTCAGAAAATATAAATTTTATAGGATAGCGGAAAATACCTATAATTTTTTTGTAGGCCTTTGTAAATCGTGGAAATAGTTTATATTTTATTTTTACCTTATCAAGGAAAATGGTACCTATTATTAATAACGGTTGTTTCTGAAACATTACTAAAATTTTCGAAATTTATTTCTCTTATAATTGTATAAAAAATAACAGGGGAATATTTACATTTCTTGATCTATTAAACAAAACGATAAATTATCTCGACGAATGACACCATGTTCTAGTACGGAAGATGGCTTTACATTTTTGTTGGTGGTTTCATGGGTTTCATATCAATTTTTTGTAATTGTAGTTTACACGTACATATACCCCTTAACACTTGTTTGCTTTATTAAAAAAGTGTGTTGTTGTGATTTACGTCGAAATAAGTCAAAAACAACTCGAAACCCCATATAAAATCAAAAAGGAGAAACGGAAAAAAATTGAGCCTGTAAATGAACACAACTCAGAAACAAAAATAGCTATCTAATAATAAAAAAATAAAATTTGAATCTTGTGCAGCTTCATCTATATCATTAACTGTTTTTGGCTTTTTAATGGTTTTTCTTGGTGATGAAAATTCCGATATCTCACGGTTATCGATTCTTTTTTCTCTCCAGAAATGCGGACGACAGTGTTTTTAGATACTCCTGTGGCTGCAGCAACACGATCATTTACATTTTTAAATGGTATTGAAGGTGAATTAAAGTTTCCTTCTCTTCTCATAAACTCTATAACATTGGCTATTATTTCGCGAGATTGACTGTTAATCACGCGGCCTCTTAATTTGCTATTAAACTTCATACTTAGGTTCTATTAAACTGTAATGAGCAAAAAACAAACGAAAATAAAAGAAATGTTTTAGCGAAATTTACATCTGACATTTACGTCTGAATGAAATAGTGAAATACTTGATGCGCAGAGTGTACTTTCATTGCGTAAATCCGTCGGGATGCCTGTCAGTAGTGTTTTCTCTGTCTAGCCGTCGAAAGCCTCTAGAAATTTGATGAACTGTAATTCATATATATTATTTAAAAATAATTACTATGGCGACTAAGTTGTTTCAATCTAGTATCTATTGCATTTAGTGCCTAGTCAATTGTAAAATAAAAAAATATACCTTTTCTTTAGGATTATCGATCGGTTCATTTCGTGCTTCGTATGAGAAATTCATTTTTTTTATCTTCTTATGCGGTGTCGTGGTATTGTTGATTCGAAATTGGCTTCAACGTCAATTTTGTCAGCCAGTTCTCTCGCATCATAGTTTTTTTAAAAGATTTATCCTATCAAAGATACTGATAAAACATTTTGCAAACGATCAAGTGCAGATACTAGATCATAATATTTTGTCTGCAACAATTTGCTTATTGAATTATTACAGTTTAAAATTTTATATCAAAAAAAACTATTAGACACAAAAATTTGTTTAATACAACTTAATAAACCCGCTTCATCCCTTAAATGATCAATTTCTTCATTCTCATAGATGCTTAGCAAGACGTCGTATAGGGGAGAGTGGTACACAATGAAACGATTTTTCGAATATTTCGTATAACTTCCGACTTTATTATTTAAAGAATTTAATTTCTTTATTGCATAGTTATTGGATATTTAGCTATAAATAATCGTAGTTAGTTTTTTAGAAAACCATACTATTTAGGTAAAAAAAAAAATAAAATCTAGATAGATGTTTTTGTATCAATGTGTACCACTGGTGGTACAGTTTGAAACATGGGGTGGTACACAATGAAACAAAATGGTACACGTATAAAAACATTTATTATTTAAAAAAAAATCAGTTGTGAAAGAACGAAAACATTTTTTATTTTCAAAAAATGTTGGTAAAAAAACTAAAATAAACTAAATCAACTCAAAAAAGGAATAAAAACATTTTTTCTTTTCAACCTATCGGTAAAAAACTAAAATCTTTATTTTTAATAAAAAGTAATAGCCAAAGATTAGCGTACAATCATGTTGCCAAAATCAACTCAACTCAACGAATTTAAAATATGATGAAAGCCTTCTGTTCTTTGTACTTATCGGATTCGATAACAGGATTGTAAAATCTGATTTCAGCGCCATATGAATGTCCGGAACATCTGGAAAATAGAATGAATTTGAAACTTTTGCACTCTTCCTCAAATACGAAATTTTAAATTCGTTAGAGTTTACAGCTTCCAAAATTTTAGCAACATAGTGAATATTATTTTGAAATTTGATCAAGCCAAAAGAATCTCAAAATTTCAGTAGTTTCATCAATTGCTAAAAATTCTGATTATTCCTTCTCTTCCTGCATCATATGGTACTGACATTCAGCTAAGGTTAATTCATCATCTAAAGAATCCGCAAAATGCAAATCTACACTTTCTGTGTCCGTCTCTGAATCTTCTTCACATGTTTTGGTTTTTTTCTTTGTATCCGTTTTGTCTGCAGTTGTATTTCGTTTTACCCTTTTAACTGCTTTTGTTTTAGGAGTTTTTTCTTTTCTATTTTGTACGAAAGTTCTTTCATTTCTGGTGTACTGGTTAAAATGACGCTTTTATTCGATTTCCGTGTTCGATTTAAATTTTTTCGAGGAGCTGCCTTTGAATAGCCCTGTATCTCAAATGGTGAAATAAATTAATCTTCTGGAGTCGACGCTATTTCCAAAGTAGAGTTTTCCTTATCATCTGCACACTGTTGAGGATCAGTTGTGCTACATGAAGCAACAGCGGTGTCGTTGCCGCTGCCGCCGGCATCTTGTTCATCGTTCAGATTTTCTTGGACTACAACCATTCCTTGTTGGAGGTTCTCCTTTTGGGCGTCTTCAGGTCTGTCAGTCACCGAGTTCAGATTTTCTTGGACTACAACCATTCCTTGTTGGAGGTTCTCCTTTTGGGCGTCTTCAGGCCTGTCAGTCACCGATGAAACAAGAAAGTCAGCCTCCGTAAAAATATTTTTATTGAATGGGTAGATACTCGTTGAACGGAACCCGTTTAATATGTTTTCAGACGTCATTGATTTTAAGTGGGAAATACCAACATATTCAGCTATGTGATATAGCGTCATAGGTACGGCGGGGTGGGTGAGGAGCCACGAATCTATTGCACCATTGTAAAAGTTCCTAAAAGAGTAAAACACTGCTTTGTCTAAAGGCTTATTACTCATATGTGGCGGGAGGGTTAGGATATTGATTCCATTGTTTTTTGCCTTTTCCGCTATCTCCAGGGACATATGCGATTCGTGGTTATCATATATTAATAGGCATGGCCTTTCTTCTGTCACACCAGTATATTTAATAAAGTGGTTTAACACCTCAACAAACAGTTCAGCGGTCATCCACCCACTTGGATTTGCTAGTTCTAATGTGCCTGGGGGCGCGCCATTTAACATATGAGGGACAAACTTCTTTCGGGGAAAAATAATTATCGGCGGTAGAAAAGTTCCGTTTGCTGTAATTATAGCACAAGTAGTGGCTAGTAATCCTCTTTCGGCACTTGTGCTCTCTAACTTTTTGAGTATTTAACCCAAATGCCATTTTGCTACAGGTCTTTATATATTCAGATAAAGATATTTCCTGTTCGGTGCTAAATATTGATCTAACAGCATAATTCGGCTCCATTTTAGTATTAGGGTCATTTTGTTCCTTTAGCACATAATACCTTAATGTGACAAAATTTACATCAAACATATCTGCAGCAATGCGTAAGGAAGTCCCATTTATTTTGACCTCTTGGACTGCTGCGATCATTTGATCTCCTGTTAATTTAGCTCTTGTTCGATCCTTCTTCTTCCTTACCATGGTTGCCTACAACTAAAAATTCCACGGTCAGAAAGACACAAGGTGGTATACAATGAAACATGTTTCAATGTGTACTACTACGCACTTTTTTTTTAATTGGACATAAATCTATGACAAGAACATTTTTGTACAAAATATTTTATAGGTTAAGAAATGCATACCCTAATTATTCATAACAAATATAAACGGATACTAAAACTGCTTAATTGTAAATAACATACCTTTTTATATTGGCTTCTTTTTTTTACTTTAAGACACAAAAATCACAAATTGGGTCATGAAATGTGCACTCTTTCCAATATCAAAAGCAACTAACGGGTGGCTGATGCAACATCATAAGACTCATCCACGACAGCGCTAGTGGCGTTGTAGCGGCAAATTCAAATTGGCAAATTGCAATGTTTCATTGTGTACCCCGTTTCAATGTGTGCCACCCTCCCCTACACCTCCGATATAAAATCTTAAAGGCTTTAAAGCCTCTATCCTACTCTCCCATCTAGTATCACTTAATGGTTTTAAAGTCAAACCCTGGACATGTTTTAGAACAATTGCCCAGCGAAAAGTAGATGCTAAAAAAATACATATATTTTCTGAATATTTTTATTTTATTAATTATATAAGATATCGCACTTTAGTGTAACAGGCCTATTATCTTGCTTTGAATATTTTTTCCAAGATAGTGATCTTTCGTTTCTTCTTTTTTCAAGCACCCTACGTACGTGTTCTTCCGTGATAGGATCAAATTCAGAAAGCAGCTCAAATATTTTTAAGAAGTTACCGTTATTATGCTCAAACAGCTTCTCGTTTGTGCCTTGGAAAGCCAGATACTTTTACCAAGCATTTTAGTGATTGCTACAGTTCTTAAAACCACTTCTTGCCAATGGTTTATTTCAGCGTTAATAAATCCGCATTTATAGTTTCACAACACTTTAACTTTAGGTTCAGTTCTAGAAAAGATTTCTGGGACTGAATATGATTTTTAGAAATTTCGTTGTCTTTTAGATGCTTCCAACTTTTAAACCCCTTCTTTAAAACGAAACTAAGTACAGCCAAAAATTTTGCAGTTATAGCAATATACGCAATTTTTTGTAATAATTAGGGCTAAATTTTCTAGCAGTCTCATCGTATGGAAATCTATAATTGTACAGTGGTTTAGGTGGACCCACTCGCGTATTGGGGACAACACTAATCATTTGTAATTGCTGTGGTGGGTGGTGTTTGTTTTCATTTACGTTGTGACTAGCAGTAGTATTTTATAAATCTTAGAAGCAAATTTTACATACATGTTATAGTGTACAGTGTCACGAAGCCGCCAAGAACATTAACCTTTGCTTCCCATAGATACAAGTGTCAGTTTGCTTAATAGACATTTTATAGTTTATTCACATTTGCACTTTTATAACATATTGTTTTATTTCATTTTAATTACATTCAGTCTAGAATCCGATTTTGTTCATTAAACACCTTTATTTTGTAACACAGTTTTTATTTTAAATAAATTATTTTTTAAAAACTACCTTACGGCAATTTTGAATTTAAGTTACATGAACAAATAATAATAATACCGTGACAACAAGAAGACGAAGTAACGACTTCTCATAGGGTGGCGGCTTCGCTGCCACCATAAAATTTCAATATATACTCGTATACCTGGCTACGCCGACCGGTATAAATACCAACGGCCTAGACACAGCTCATCTACTCTGTCAAAAAGAGACCGATGTACAAATAAAACGCGTACCACATGCGAACTACAAATGATTAGTGTTGTCCCCGATATGCGAGTGGTGGACCCTGCCTTACCAAAAAGATTCTTTCGGCATCTGGTAGTGCTATTGGCCAGAGTGCTGGATCTGTACTTAAAGGTTGTTGAACGCTTTCTGCAGGGGCCACGTTGGTATCAATAACACTCTCATTGGGTAAAGAAAGGCTGCCGCTGTCAATTGTAAGTATCAGTTCAGGTATATCGTTCATTTGTTGATCCTCATTTTTCTCAGGTGATTCTCTGTTGTCAGTGTCTTTCAATGCTGTCTTTGATGTAGAACATTTTGAATCGTCATTTGTTTTGATGCTGCCCGACGTACTCTGTAAATAATTTAGTAAAGTGCTAGCTTGTCTTTGCCTTTGCATTTCCTTTTTCACCCTTCTTTGTTATATTTTTATATTTTGCGTCCCTCGGATATTCTGGAAGACACACAACATATCTAAAATTAAACAAAGCAACAGACTTAGTTAAATTAGACAAGTACTGCACTTTTTTATGCTCATGTAAGATCTAGGGGAATAATTAATCATTTTCATATGTTTTTTATATTTATAAATTAGGTAATAGTAGTAAAAAAGTAACGAACCTATCACACCTGATACCTTTCAAAGAAAATTTATGAAAACCTACTACACCTGATACCTCTCAAATATGAAAATTTATAAGCACTTGGATTTTACATAATTTTGCTTCAAAATATAAAATGGTATAAAATAAGGCAATTTTTCTTGTACAATTTAGTCAGATCATGCATAGATTTATTCTAGAGTGCTCAATGTTTAAATAAATATTTTATTTTAATTTTATAAAATATCTAACAAACTTTTGCCATTTTTAAGAAAATTTTATTTATAAAACTAGGTAAAAATATTCGAAGCTTTACCTAAAAGAGATCGAATCCAGTAGTTGATAATAAAAAAAAGGAATCAGGGTCTATTAGTCAGTAAAAGGCAAGAATTATTTAAAAAAAAAATCATGCTATACCGTATATTTCATAACCGTTTTTAAGGTATTTGAAAAAGTTCCTTTGCAGATGAAAATTAAATTTCAAAGACGATTTTTTAACGAAACAAACAAATTTCAGTCCTTTTAAAATTACCAAAACAAGTCTTTTTGTCTTTTAACTTTTTAATTAATTTATCTGTTTTGTTCGTAAATCGTTTTTAAAATTTAATTTTCATCTGAGAAGAAGCTTCTTCAAATACCCAGCTTGAAAAAGATTATCAAATTTAAACGAAAGTTTGTTTTTTTTTTTAATAATTTTTGACTTTTACTGATCAAAATATCCTAGTTTCAAAGATTCGCAAGTTAACGGTTAACTTACCTTAAAAAATTACAAATCACACAGATTATTGAACCTAAACAGTATATATAAATTGAGAGTTGGACTTGTTATCACCACCGTGGAATTAGCAAAAATAATTTTATGCTCTAATAAGACATCCCTTTTATAATTAAAGACAATAAACAAGTATTTTAACTTTCTTGTGTTATAAAATGTTTTTACAAATGAAAGACGGCATGCTTTTATTATTAATAATATTTATAATATTATGTCATGTTCTGACAGTGAAAATGCCGTCCCGGACAAATATCCGGGTTGTCCGGCATTGGAGCAGGTCCTGATCCGAGGTTTTAATTTTTGTGTGTTTGTTATTGTACCTATCTAAATAATAGCTCGCCATATTAAACATTCTTATACTTTTAACTATTTCTAAGTTTTGTAAAATACTTTTATAGTAAATAAAAGTTAAATATAAATTATTTTTTGCAGGTATTGAACAGAAAACATTTAACGAAAAAACTGGCCCTCAACCATCAACCTCTAGTCATTCAAGTTCTAAAAAAATTTTAACCTGCGAATATTGCAAGAAAACATTCACCCACAAAGGAGACTTTAACAAACATCTCAGGAAACATACCAAGGAGAAGCCATTTTCCTGTCAAATTTGCCATAGGAAATTTGGACATACGTCCAATTTACTCAGACACCAACGGCTTCACAGTGGAGAAAAACCTTTCGCTTGTGACAATTGTGACAAGAGATTTAGCAGGAAAGATAAATTGGATTGTCATAAACGAAGTAGGACCTGTTATGAGGCTAGTACCTCTCATAGCTATCAATAACATTACAGTTATAAAATATATGATAAAAATTATTGCTTTAGCACTTTTTGTTACCGTCTCAATATATTGTTTTTTCTGTTGCATTAGTACTTAACTAAAAGTAGATTTAAATCTTAAAATAAACATCATGAGTTGAAAACTTTGCGAGGTTTTTAATTTTATTCTCGAAGAGACAATTGTGATAATAAGAATGGCGTTGAGACGTATGTTTTAAATTCAAAATATTCAATTATTTATTTTGCATTTAAGAAGACTGGTATTTTTTTAAGATAAAATATTCAATGTGACATATTTTCCTTATCGACCATTTTCTCGCCCTATTTTTTATTTGTACTTAAAATTGATGCTCAAAATATAGATCTACTATTGATTCCTATATATATTTTTTTATCCTATATACAAACCTATTTTATGATTTTTGTATCAGCCTGTTTAAGCTGATATGTACAGTGTATATCTTATGAATTGATTGTTATTTATTATTAATTTATTTTAGAGAATGCTGGCCATTCTTTAGTATATATTGTTTTTATAAATAAATATATTTTAAGAAAAACGTAGTTTGTTATTATAATCACAATTATTTGTAATAAAGAGCGATCCACAAAGTGTGTTTCTAAAGTAAATATTTGAAATACAAAATTTGTACTTGGCTATTTATTTTAAAAACAGTGTGTTAGTTTTAATAAACTATAAAACTGAAATAAATTAACATCAATAAATAATACAATGCAGTCACATTATTTATTTAATTCCAAGCAGGCTTTACACCTAATTACATATAAATTCAATAAAATAGCAAAACAATGTACATAACTAAAATCATAATCTTAATTAATACATTCTTATATCTGTATACTGGGTTTCAACAATATCTGAAACCCACGTGACCAAATTGTCATGACAGTGGTTGGTGAAAATAAAAGTTAAAATCTCTAGGTGTGAGCCAGTGCCGTAGGTATTTATTTACAAAATAGATCTTCTTTTTTATAGTATGCAACTACGAGAACAAAATTCAGTTAGGTAACAAAAATTCATATTATTAATTAGAGGTGCTTTACTTTATTGTCTTTTAATGTTAGAATTCGATATTTTAGATTTAGTCAAATGCAAAAGTCTCATTTTTAAAATTATGACATAATTAACATAACCTTAAAAAATTAAGCTATTTATATATAGTTTGTTAATAAACTGAAATTAAGAAATATGGCTCGTACTGGTTATTCCCACCTCAGCGGTTGAGTGCTAACTAAGCGCGTCTCCGGGTGGTGGATAGGAGGACGGCCAAGTTTCCCTTGGTTAGTGGTAGACATAAGTAGAATGCGAGATCCTAAAAACCCTCAAAATCTTTTGCGAAGGCTACCGCCGCGAACCAACTCCCCCAATCTAAGGTGTAAGGTAACGTGCTGACGGATGAATTAACCCAAGGGCAGATGCGGCAGCAAACGCTCCCCTGAGGGAACCTGGCGACACCCTCCTGTATCTAGCCTTGCCGGCGCATGCGGGGCTCTGCGTTGGTCGACCTTTCCTGCCCTAGCTACTCGTGGGAACCATATGGATTCTAAATTTAAAAAACTCGAAGAGGCTGGACGTCGACGCTCACCTCTAGCAAAGGAGACTGGACGACTAAGTCCAACTCCGGCGCAGGAGGCTGGACAACGGCGATCACCTAAAAAAAAGGAGGATGGACGTCAACGCTCACTTCCTGCAAAGGAGCCTGGACAACGTTCAGCTCCTGTACAGGAGGCTGGACAGCGACGTCCAACTCCAAAAAAGGAGGATGGACACAATAGTTCACCTCCAACTAACAGGCCCCGGAGAGACAAAAGAATCTCTGGGTCTTAAGCAAAGAGGAGGAAGAGAGATAAGCTGCAGGCAGGCAGTGCTACGGCAACCACCACCCTCGGCAAACTCCCTCACTCCAAAATAAACAAAAGCGGCTTAATCAAGCCCTTAGGCAGCGATGCTAGTTCTGCCTTCACAAGAGGCTAGGAACACGACAGTCACCCTCTATTTGTAAATTTCTTTAAATTTTAACTAATTTGTTAACTTGTTTTCAATTGTATGAATAGTGAAGGTGGCATAATTCCTTAATTCCACACAAGCTAACTTGCTTCTGGAGATCAGATATGATTTGTAAGGGCTTATCCCACACTCACTATTCCCAATACCAGTTTTTTGTCACTTTGTTGGTTTCTTGTAATTGTTAATTTGTCCAAACAATCGTATATATACTATTTTAACTTTTGACTAAAAAGTCTTATTCAGATTTTATAATATATTTTTTTAAATTGTAAGTTTACATCCACAATTTTTGTAGATAAGCACTGATGATGGCAAATAAGCCGAAAGCGCTTTGCATTTATTAATTAAAAAGTTTTGCACGAAATACAAGTCTTTCCTTTTGAAACTAATAGATATCAGTTTATCCACAACTGGTATCTATAAATCAATTCTAAACTGGCAAGTGTCTGATAACATTTCGATTGTCAGACCACCGCAGGTTAACATTCAAAATAAACTTGATGTTGCCGACTTCCACGCTATCTCGGAACCTAGGAAAACGGACAGGGCAACCTATGCCCACCTTCTCCAAGAGGCTCTGAGAGAGATGGAGGCCGAAACACCAAACAATAATACTGCTTTGGAAAAGTACACGAACACTATCCAAAGCACAATAAACAATGCCTATAAGAAATCCTGTCCTCTGAGGCTGGTCCAACACGATCAGACGACTACCGCATGATGATGTCACGAGTTGGATCACCTCAGGAAGATGGCTAGAAAGTCTTTTAATAAGGCAAGAACCACAAAACTCGAAGAGGACTGCAAACAGAAAGATGCATGGAGATCCTACCGTGAAGAAATCGAAGATTTCCCGCAGGCAGCGAGGCTTCAAAGAGTTCTCTCAAAAGATCCACACCGAAATATTGGTGCGCTAATCAAAGAGGATGGCACGAAAACTGTCAACCTCAAAGATAGCATCAAACTTCTACTGTAAACACACTTCCCTGACTCGGTTACCACAAACGTGGCGGACTGGGCAGAGGAAGAATACAATCCATCTGTCTATGATTGGCAAACTGCCACACACATTGTAGACGATGGAAAAAATAGACGGGCAATATCCAGCCTCTCTCCATTTAAATCGCCAGGACCTGACGGTATCTATCTAGCCCTACTTCAGTGGAGTCGGGAAGAACTCACACCGCACCTGGTGGGTATATTCAGATCCTCGTTGGCTTTGAGGTATATCCTTAAAAAATAAAGAGAGGTAAAAGTGGTATTTATACCCAAATCTGGAAGGATGGATTACACTGACCCAAAAACATACCGACCAATTAGTCTGACATCGTTTTCCATGAAGACATTGGAAAGGCTATGCGAAAGGTACATAAGGGATACGGTGATTACAACAACACCACTACATCCAAACGAACATGCATACACCCCAGGCAGATCTACTCATTCAGCCCTTCATCTAGTTGCTGGCTGGATAGAAAGATCCCTGGACAATAAGGAATCCGCCTTGGGTGTTTTCATAGACATAGAAGGTGATTTTGATAAAACCACCTTCCCAAAGATAATACACTCACTAACCAACAGGAATGTTCCACAAATGGTTAGTGGGTAGATATATAACATGCTCTCAAAGTGAGCAGTAAATATAAGTGTAGAAGATGTGAATATAAGAGGCTTGGTTGCGAGGGGATGTCCACAGGGAGGGGTGCTATCACCTCTACTGTGGAATATGGTCCTCTACACCCTCATCAGCCGCTTAAATAATGACAGTCACTACACAATAGCATATACACATGATCTGGTCATTCTGCAAACAGGGAATTTTGAGAACATACTCTGCGAATGAATGCAAGTAGCTCTAAAAATTATCGAACAGTGGTGCAAGGACCATTCACTTTCTATCAATCCTAAGAAGACAGAAATGGTCCTTTTCACAAGGAAAAGGTTAAAAATGGAAATAAAGCCTCCAGAACTCCTAAACAGAAAACTAAACTTTGCAGCAGAGGTGAAGTATCTAGGTCTCACCTTTGACAGCAAGTTAACATGGAACTCGCATTTAGAAAATAGAGTTAAAAGAGCATACATTGCTTATGAACAATGCCGCCGAACCGTGGGGCGCACCTGGGGTTTCTCTTCCAGAGTCGTCGCATGGACTTACACGCTTATCATAAGACCTATGCTAACATACGGTGCAGTTGTCTGGGTACCGAAAACCCAAAAATTAATAGCTATCCGTAAACTAGAGCAAATTCAAAGAACAGCATATCTCAACATAACAGGAGCCATGAAAACAACACCGACTAGAGCGATGGAAGTCATTTTTAGTCTCACTCCCCTTGATATTTACATCAAGCAGGTTGCTCTGACGACAATGACACGCCTCCGCACGGTTGAAATAGAACCTGTTGTAGGATCTGGTGAGGCGAGACGTCGCTTTTGGCATGGACTCCATCTCACCGAGATATACCTTCTATAAGCCATATAAAGTTATAATAGAACAAATAGAAGAGCCTGAAGAGGCAGGTACGATTCATATCTACACCGGCGGTTCTCAAATAAAACGAGGCTCAGGATGTGAAATATACTCCAGATTTTTAAACATAAAATGGGCTGTGAACAATAGTGCCAATGTAGTTCAAACAGAGCTAATGGGTATTCTCATAGCAGCAAAAGAAATAACCAGAAACAATATCACTGGAAGGAACTTGCTCATCTATACTACTCACTACTCACCCTGAACAGACCACGAATTTACTCAGAGTTAGTACTAGAATGTCACGAAGCTTTGGCCGAAGTATCCATCAACAAAGTGTTCACCTTAAGATAGATCAAAGGTCACGCCACATCGAAAGGTAACCATCTTGCTAATTCACTAGCTAAGAAAGCAGCAAACCAAATACTTTTTGGACCTGGCCCTTCTATTGGCCTGACAAAATCGGTAGTGACAGACCTAATCAAAGAACATTCCCTTGTGAAATTCAAGGAAAGATGGGATGAAACAAGAAACTGCAGAGTTACTAGGGAGCTCTTAAGTTATCCTGACAACACTGCAGGAAACAAATACTTGACTATGACTAGACAGAATCTGCGCCTAGTCACAGGCATTCTGACTGGTCATTGCCAAGTACGAAAGCATCTCCATATCATGGGGCTGTCAGAATTCGCACTCTGCAGAGGGTGCGAACAAGAAGATGAGACTATCGAGTATATACTTTACGATTGCCCGACGCTCTTATTTATTAGAAGATTTGTGTTCGGTGAGTATCGGCTAACACCGGCTGATGTAAGAGAAGCACCTCTTGGCGACGTTGTCAACCACATAAAATCTGTAGGCTGGCTCACGAACTAGAAGGTGCCTATCATCTCAGTATATGTACAATGGGCCTAATAAGGCCTAAGTGCCGTGGGGGTATCCCACCCTCCACACGTTACAGATACAGATGATAAAGAATATTTCAAAATATCAAATTGAAAAACTTAACAA